CCAGGAGGGCTCCCCTGGGAACGTAGCCATGAGCCCCTGTGGTCCAGAGAGGAGGCCCCCCCTTGGGCTCTTTTCCGTTTTGTGCAGGTCCCTCTCAACTCAAATTCAAAGCAGGGATTCCTGAATCCTCCCCACCCGCTTCCTGACTGCAGGGGTAAGTCTCAGGACTTAAGTGGGAGCAGCTCACACGTGCCTGACACTTGGGGGACCCCAACCTCCCTCCGCCACAGCTCTCACCCTTGCCTTGTTTCATACTCTTTCGAAACACTTATCACCACCATCGAGTTATTTATTTAGCAATTTACTTGTGGGTGACCTGGTTGTCTCCTACGAGACACCGGCTCCACCGCAGCTGTGTTTTGTTCATGGTGGACGGCCCGATGCACAGCTGACACCTGCCTAGTACTGGAAGAGTAACTTGATGGCACTCCAGAGCAGACAGAAACAGAGGACCCCGAGACAGCCGGGGCAGGCCGCACCCTCCCAGGGCTCCCCGGGGCAGAGCGCAGCTCTTCTGTTCCCTCTACCTCGATGTAGTGGAGCTCCTGTTGGAAGGTCGTCATGGCCGTCTTCACTTGTTCTTCCATCCTCTCCACGAGCAGGCAGATATCATCGGACTGCTTCTTCAAATCCTTCACATATTGGTCATCCTTGGCTTTTAACTCCTACAAAAGGGCAGGTGAAAGGCTGTCACCGGCTGACGGAAACAAGAGCACCAGGTGCACACCACCTGGGCCCCTCACGGCAGCCTGTGAACATCAGGAACTCACTGTACAAGGGAACGTGGCTTCCGAAGCAGGAGCTGAGCCCCAGGAGAAAATGCAGGGCAAGCAGCAGAGTGGGCTGCCCTGTGAGCCGAGCTCTGGCCGGGCAAAGTGGGGTGAGCCCCCACACTTTGCCTGCTGCAAATCCCCCTGAAGGCACCCACAAAGCCTCGCACAACCCCGCGGAGCAATTGGAGTCCAGGTTCCAACAAGAGCTGATTTCCACTGTGGACTTAAGTTAAAAACATAACATCGGGGCCCTCCCTGGTGGTGCAGAGGGTTAAAGCACAGCACTGAGAATCTAAAGCCGCTTCCGCATGAGTTCGATCCCCGCCTGCCCCGGAGGTGACCACATGGCGTGGCAGACCTCTCCTGACCCGCCCGCTGCTCCCCTCAGCAGTGTGCTTCGTCGATCTGCCTGTTCTGCTCCCCACTCTGTCTCTGGTGAAGCCTCTCACCGCCCCTGAGCCTCTGGCCTGCACCCCAGTTCTGTATGCACAAATAAATAAATCCTAAAAAAAAAAAAAAAAGCCCATAACATCGGGGGCCTCCCTGGTGGCGCAGCAGGTTAAAGTACAGTGAGCACTGTGACGCTATCAGCAGCCACTGTGGCACGAGTTCAATCCCCGGCCAGGGAGCTGACCCACAAGGCATGGCAGACCTCTCCTGTCTCTCCGCTGCTCCCCTCAGCAGTGTATTTCAGTCCATCTGCCTGTTCTACTCCCCACTATGTCTGGTGACTCCTCTCACCACCCCCTGTGCCTGCACCTCTGTCCTGCAGAACCACTTCTTGTGTGCACAAATAAATAAACCTAAATAAATTTTAATAAATAAATCTTTTAAAAAAAAACCATCAAATCATAAACATTTACATGAAACATCTTTTCCTTAAGTAGCCAACTATTCTCCAATTATCACCAAGCTTTTCCTTCTGGCTGGAAGTGTATCCCCTGAGCTGTGCAGCACTCGGAGTGGAGACGTCAGACTGCACCTGTTTCCCGCTCAGGAGAAGCAAGCCTGTCGCCCAGCGCCGCCCGCCAGCTCCCACAGGCCGAGGCCGGGCTTGCCTGCTGCAGCTCACTGATGAGCTTGTTCTTGTCTTCGATCAGCCCGGCGCAGTGCACCTGCTGGGCAGTGAGCATGTCCCACAGGTCCTGGGGGATTCTCTTCTTTTTGCCCTCCTCCCACTTCACAGAGATCTCATCAAATTTGTCCTGGCTGGTCTTGACTTCATTCTCCAGCTTTTCAATTCTGCAAATAGAAAGATGCTGAGCAGCCTTCTGAGCCTGCTCAGCTCCAGAAGCTGCCTCTCAACAGAGCAGCGGGCATGCAGGGCCTCAAGCGCCCGCCCAGACAGCGAGGGAGGGAGGCCGAGGGGAGGGCATGTGAGGAGCAAGAACAGGGCTCCCCGGGCCACTTTCCAAAGATCGGGGAGCGCCTAGGGGCCCAAAGAGGAGACGGTGAGTCCTCGGCTTGAGCGGGGCCCTTACCTCTGCCGCTTTATGTCCTCCTCCTCCACCCGCCTGTGGATCTCCCTGATGTCTGTGGCCACCTGGATATTGGTCACCAACTCTGAGCCACAGAGCAGCAGCTTAGTCAATTTCTGAGAACACATAAGAATTCACGAAGTTAGAACACTTGAGCTCACAAATTTTAAGTGTCTATAAAGATGATTATTTACATCCATATAAATACATCTTTAGAAAGACAAACACATCTCTAATTAGAGAGAGAGAAAAATGTACAACTTTGGAAGAATTTATAAACTCAGAAACATCTGGCACAATCCTCTGTAGCTCTCCTAGGCAGCCGAGCAGAAATAAGAAAAGCTACCCTGAAGCCCTGTAGCGCAGCTCCCGCGAGCCGCCCTCCACCAGCACCTGGCCCTGAGTCGCAGGTCACAGCTGAGCTGCACAGGAGACCGGGTGCTTTAGCTATTCCCAGAGTGGGGCCAGCGGGCCAGGCGCCAGCGTGCTTTCCACAGACACCTCACCCCGCCCCCCAGCAGACAGCAGATCCCAGCGAGGGACACTGCCAGGCTCCTTTCTGAGAATCTCGGATTTTGTTTTCGTCTGCAGGAGGGGAGGAGTGAGGTGGATAAGGGCATCATCCTCCAAGGCCCATTTCCGCTGGAGCACTTGGAATAGACCAAGACTACACAGGAAACAAAAAGAAGTGCGTAAAAAAATTGATGGGCGGGCCTCCCTGGGGCCCTAGGGTTTAAGTCTCAGCACTATGAAGCTCTCCACAGCACTGCAGCACAGGCTTGGTCCCCAGCCAGGGAGCTGACCCACGTGGCACAGCAGACTTCTCCTGTCCTGCCACTGCTGCTCTTAGCAGTGGATTTCAGTAGATCTGCCTGTTCTGCTCCCCACTCTATCTCTGGTGAATCCCCACTCCTGCACCTCTGGCCTAAACCCCAGTTCTTCTATGCAAAAAAAGTATATCTATAAATAAATAAAATAACAATTGGTAAGGGATAAGACAAAGGGTGGGCCCCTCCTGTCCACAACCGGCAGAACTGGTAGTCTGTCCCTTGATGTTGCAGACGGTTGTATGATTTAAAATATATTTCCCCTTAATACCAGGGCTCTTCGTGCTTTTAGTCCTAAGTGAAAGAAATTTTTTAAAGCAGTTCATGAAAGCATTTTCTTTGGTTTTACACTTGATTATAGAGTGCTCAGGATGAAGTGTATGTTAGCAATTTGAAGAGTGCATCAGCAGGAAATATAACAGTATCTTCAAGACATACAAAATCTCTTTTATCTGATAGAGAGCAGCCCTTTGGCAGCGGCAGCTAAGTGCAAAGCGGGGTGACTGGCTCCCCTGCCTCCCAGGAAGCAACAGATCTGGACCCCGAGGCTGCAGCAGCCACTGTCCCTGCACTAAGTGGAGTATTTTGTCCACGCCACCGTGCAGAGCAGGTTATTCTGTGATCTCCACAGCTTTCTGCTCTACAATAATGTCCCAGTAATTTGAATATTTTTCTCCCAGTAAGCACACTTCAGCTTCCACCAGAAATGATCTTTTCTCTCTACTTTTATAAATCCACCTATTTTTCTAAGCTCCAGCTCAAACCCCACTTTCTCCATATAACCTCCCCCCTCCGCCCCACAAGATGCAGGCCTGGTGAGCTCTCATCTCAGCCCTCACAGCCTCCCTGCAGTCACTCAGCAAGCAGGTAACTGGTGTTTGCTGTCTGGGCTTGCTGTGGGCCCGAACTGCTATTCAGCTCTCCCGCCTCTGTCCCCAGTCTGTGCCAGGTACCCTGGGGCTCTGTCAGTGCCCAGAGCAAGGGTTTGCTCTTTAATGTTCACTGAGTGCAAACTGTGTGCTTCCACAGGTACACAGAGAGACTCCCACACCCACGCTCTTCAGCTTACAGCGCCCTGGGACACTGCATAGACACACACACACACACACACACAACACATACACACACGCACACAGGAAAAGAGAGGAGGCAGGAAACCATCTGAAATAAAAGCTGCAGACAAGTCTCCAAAGTGTGAATGAAAGGCATTAGCCGGGGTCGCTGTGACTTCATGGAGGAGCAGGGCTTGAGAGGGGCGTAAGGTCCTGGAAGGAGGCCTGGAGAGAGCAGGGGGAAGGGAGGTGGGGAAGGAAGGTAGGGAGGAGGCCTGGCACCCAGCCTTCAAAGACACTTGGGGGAGAACAAAGCCCCGCTGGGAGAGAGGGAGCCAATAAAGAGGAGGCCACATCAGGAGATGGTGGAGAGAAGACTGCAAGATTAAGCCCGGAACAGCCTGCAAACACCTTGCGTGGGGAGGCCCTTGGTTGTGTCCCCAGAATGGTGGGTGTCATGAAAAGTACTATACGCAGAAGGGAGAGAGCATTCATGAAAGAAGTTACAGCAGGAAAGCTCATCATTCCTAGAGAGCTGGGGGTGGGAGAGACTCTCACTCAGTTCTATGCAGAGACAGGAGCACGGAATCTCTGTTTCTTCTTGTCTAAACACAAAATATAAAACCATGACAACGACCCTGCTTGCCGGTCTGACAGAACCAGCAGAGCCCAGTTCCTACTAGTCTGCTTTCTTCTTTCTGCTTGTAGCTCTTGCTTTGATCTTCCTCACTCTCCTTCTTCCCATCCAAATATTCTCCAAGTGCTTCCCTGTGATGGAAAGAAGCAGAGAAAATGAAGTTACTAGTAGCTAAGTGCTACATTTCAAGATTCTGTCCTAGTTTACACCACGTGCAAAAATGCATCCCATGTGGACATTGAAACTTTTTTGAAAAGTTATAGTTAGGGCCTCCCCGGTGGCGCCACGGGTTAGGGTGCAGCACTGCAAACCAGCCGGAGCCTCTTCAGTGCAAGTTCGATCCCCCACCCCAGAGGTGACCCACATGGCGCGGCAGACATCTCATGACCCGCCCGCTGCTCCCCTCAGCAGTGGACTTCGTGGATCTGCCTGTTCTGCTCCCCACTCTGTCTCTGGTGAATCCTCTGGTGACCCTGCACCTCTGGCCTGTACCCCAGTTCTTACATGCCTAAATAAATAATTCTTTTTAAAAATTGATAGTTAAAGCCCTAGAAATGAATGCAGGAGACAACCTGTCTTAGAATAAAAACAAGGTTAGTAAAAAATATGGAAAGATTTCACTTCCAAAAATCCTAAAATTTTATCCTTGAAAATCAAGGGATAAACTGGTAAAAGATCACTGACAACATTTTGCTATCTGTAATAAAACAGAAAAAAACTCCTTTAAAAGCAATAAAGCATAAAACATCAAACAGAACAACTTGCGAAGGGGATGAACAATTTTCATAGGAAAAAACAAAAATGCCAAGTAGACATTTGGAAATACGTTCACGTTCACAGAGAACCAGAGAAATGAAGCTGGACACTCTGTCAGTCTCATCGCCCTCCCGACAGAGGCTCAAAGAATAGGTAGCAGGTGTGGGTGGAGAGTGCCCAGCTATGCAGACCCATGAGTGGGCGTGTGAGGTGAGAAAGGACGCCTGGCAAGATTTCCCAAGGACTATAATGTGCCTGTACTCTGGCCCAAGACTTAGGAATGCTCTACAAAAAGTTTCCACAACTACACAAAGAAGTAAGTCGAGAATGGTTACTGTAGCACCAACTACACCAGCAAGAACATGGAGACAATCCTACAAATATTAATAGCTGCCTGTTTAAATAACCAGGAGGTAAAGTACCCAAAAATATTCAGTAGCCTATGAAAAGAATGAAGTGGTATCTACTAGCAAGGAAGATGTCAAAATATTTGAGTAAAAGGAGCCAGCTGTAAAATAACATGCAACAAAGAATATAAATTTTCTGCTAAAAATAGTCTTATCTATACACCGGACATTTGGGGATGGAGTTATGACAAACAGGTAATAGTATTTAGGGAAACTTGACCCAGGACTTAGATTTTCCAAATTTTTGTCGTGCATGAATTTTACAAATAGTGGGGGGCGGAGTATGAATCAGAAAATAAGACTGAAGAGAGATGCAGTTCCAGATGATGGCCTCTTTGGAGCAGCCTGGGGTGGGGGAATGGCCCCTCCCCCCACTCCCCCTTTCTTCCCCCTCCCCCACACTCCCCCTTTCCTCCCCCTCCCCCATCCTCCCCCTTCCCCTTCTCTTCCCTCTCCCTCACACTACCCCTTTCCCTCTCCTCCCCCTCCTTCCATCCTCCCCATCTACATGGATGCCCAGTGGACTCTCTGGCGCAGACTGAGTTCCCAGCACTGCTGCAGGGAAACTGATCCCCTAACCTTTCTTCACAGGGAAGAGCAGATCCCTTTACCTCATCCTGTCTAGACCTTTTCTAGCATTTACCTCCACTCCCTCAGCATAAAGTCAGCAGGCCACAGTGCCAGCCAGCCTGGGATGCGGCATTGCTGCCATGCCCCTCCGGCTAAGCCTTTCCTCTTGGCAATCGGCTCCCTTCTCTGCTCTGCTCTTTGCTTTTATAAGAAAACAAAATTGTCTAATCTATTGCATCTTCAAAGGCTGCCAGGTAATGCTGTCTGTTATCACCCCAAATGGCCTCACTCTGCTGACCTTCTTCTTGGACCACCAATGAATGGCCAACTTTATCTAATTAACCCCTTCTAGCTGCTTCCTGGAGCAGAAATTGGTGTTTCCGATGGAAAAATAACTATGCTACAGGTTCTAATGATTTCAGCTTCAACATGCTCCGTATTGCTGCTTTTTCACTGTCATTGCTGACAGCCTCCTCCTGCACTGCTCAACAAGAGAGCCACTAACCCCTCCCACCCCGGCCGCAGCTGAACACTGAAAGGTGACCAGTTCTGGCCCTGACTATATAGTGGTTACTACCCTGCGGTGTGAAGTGTGACTAGTTCAAGTGGAGATGAGTGGAGTGTAAACTAGGCTAGATGGATTTTGAAGACCTTGAAGCCACTCCCCCCTGCAGAATAGCTCAATGATATGATTTATGCAGGTCACATGTTGGAATACTGCTTATATACTGGATTAAACTAAACATGTTAAACATGGCTCTTAGGAAATTTTAAACTGCATACGCGGCTCACATTATTTCCATTCTCTGCACTGACCTAGCATAATCTCCCAAGAGGTTCCCCTCACCTTCCAACCCAACACACTCCCCTTTCCTCAGAAACCCCCCTCCCCACCCATCAAAGTCCTTTCTCAGGATTCAGAACATTGGATGATTCCAACCCCCCTGCTGTCTGGGTGAGAGGGGAGCCCCAGGGCGGCTCTCATCTCCCTGAGAATATGGTTATTCTAGGAACCAGAGTCTTTCTGTTTATTAAGCCTCTGGGAGGGGCAGGCTCCCGCTCCAGTCTGGGAGCTTGCAGGGTGCTTCTTCAGGGTCGGGGCTGGGCCTTCACTCAGGTGCTGCCTCCCAGCAACTCCAGGCGGGCGTCCCCTTCAGCAGGAACAGGGCTTCAGTCCTGAGAGTCGCTCTTCAGTTCTTCCCCTGACAACCTCCTGCTGCTGTTTAGGGTCTTTTATGAATCTGGGAAAGGGACCTTCCAGACTAGTCCTTGAATTTTGACAAATTTTCTCCTGGTTTAATTTCTATTGTTTTCTTTTCCCTCTTCTAGGCCATTCCATCAACCCTTCTGTTGTTCACCATGTCTACCAGATTTTTAATTTCTAAGAGTTCTATTGAGTTCTCTGAGCTCACCTTTTTAGGGCATCTTTTCTGTCTTGTGGATGTGGCGTCTCTCTTTTTTTCCACAAAAGATCTTAATGGTCTTTTTTTATTATTAATAGTCTTTTTATTGCATTACTGTTGTCTTTTCTTGCTACTTGCTATTATTTCTTGTCTCAACTTCCTAAATTGCTTTTTCTGTTTCCTCCTTCTGTCATCTCCCTTTCATGTTAATGGTTCTCCTCAAACCTCAAGAAATCTGACAAGAAGAAGTGGCTGAGGGGGGCTGTGAGCGCAAGGGTGTGGTCAACAAGTGAGAGCTTGTGTGGCCGGGATCTGCTTGAACTGTGAGGAGGGCAAGCCCCTATGCCAGGCTCTTGCTTTGGGCTCTGTAGAGTCCTCCAGGCTCCTGCAGCGTGGAGGTGAAAGCGGAGGGCAGCATTCCAGGACTGGGGGGAATCGGGGTTGCACGTGTTTGAGGCATGCCCTTGCTTCAGGAACCGAGACCATCTCCCATCCACCCAGCAGTCTCCAGCCACAGGTCCTCCACTTTACTCCTCTGAGCCTGCTGTGTCTTTTGTGCAAAGTGGGTCACAAGCTCTTATTTCTTTCTTATCCTCTTTCCCATAGTAATTTAATTCAGCACCGTGGTCTTAAGTATAATTATCTCTAATCCAGAATACTCCTCTGTATTTAAGATCCATATCCAGCTGCCTAATGGGCATCTCCATTTTAATGTCTCACAAAACCCGGTCTCACTTAATTTTCCTGGAACCAAGTTCTCAGTTTTCAACTCCTGCCTCTCTACGATGTCACTGCCTTCACCATCTCAAGAAAAGTCTCTGCCATCTGTCCAGCTGTCCAAGGCATTCTTGTTTTCCCCACTTTTTACCAGCATATCCATCCATCAGGAAATGCAGCCACTTTCACTCTAAACTGTCTGGAGAACAACTGCTTTTTCCCCAAACCCACTACCCGGGACTAATCCAAACCAACCTCGTCTCAGCTGGACCTATGCTTCCTGATTAGCACCTCCAGGCCAGTCCCCAAAACAACCACTCATCTAAATGGTACAAACCAGGTCAAGTCACTCCCGAGGCTCCCCACCCTACCCCAGGGCTTCCTCATGGCAGCTGCAGACACTCCGCACAGGGGTCTCACCTCCTGGCTGCTCTCTGCCATGTCACCATGAGAGCTTGTCGCCACCATCTGCGGGGCTCACGGGACTGCACTACACAGGGCTGGCATCATTCTACAGCGAAGCGCCTCGCTTCTACTGCCGGGCCTTTGAACGTGCTGTGCCATTCTGGCCATAGTCTTTATCCATCCTCCCCCCCTCCTTTTTTTTTAATAAACTTTAGAGAAAGAAGGACCGAAAACACCGGGAGTCGCCCGAGGAAGGCGGGGGGACTAACTCTAGTGGGCACGCAATGGGTGATGGGAGGCTGGGTGCTGACTGGTTAGCAGCCAACAGCCAGGCTCTAAAGGGTGACTTCACTGGATGCAGATTCTAATTCAGATGTTTTAAAGATAAGACCTGAAAATTTACCCTGTGGGGGAAAAACAGAGCTTATGGTTTTCTCTTGTGGGCAATAAAAGCAATTACACTGAATGTGCAGAAAGGAATGGTGCAATGTAAGATATCTTCAGTACACAAGATGTTTTAAGAAAAATATGCTTGTGCGTAAGTAATATTTCTTTTTTGAACTTAATAAGTGGCCTTGAAGTTTTTCTTTGGAAGTGTTAGCAATGCATGTTTTTAAATTTCTCAAACACCTCAGGGAGGAAGCAAAACAGTGGAACAACAGAGTGGCTTCAAAACACTCCACAGATCATTCTACTCTAAAAGTGTATACAGCTCTCTAATAATGAAGGAGATTATCTCATTAGAATAGAAGATTCCTTAGGGCCGAGGCAGTCTCAGTGTTATTGCACATCAAATCCCCAGCACATTGCCGAAGTCAGAGTGGCAGCCAAGGGCTGAAACCACAATGACTTTTGAAGATGATTAGATTATGACATTGCTCACAGCCAAGGAGAAGCACAGTCAGCAAAGAAGAACTTGCACACGCTGGCCAGAGAAAGCGGCAGGAGCCCACCAGCCTGAGAGTGGACGTTCTGACAAAAAGCCACGAATCCTTGCCCCGTGCCTTGAACCAGCCAATTTTCAGACTCAAAATCAACTAACCAGAAAGGTGGCAAGGTCCCTGCGACATCATGGTAAATCTGTTGGGCTCCTGGCCTGCGTCATTCTCAAGGGGTCTGTGGTCTTTTGCACCACGGTTGGATTCTGGGGCTGAGGACAGGCAGCTGCCTGCTGAGAACATTCACACCCTTCCCCCAGCAGAGGAAGCAGATGGACCAGGATCCTGCTGACCAAAGGGCCACTGGGTCCATGGACTCAGCTAGTGGTCTTTGCTCTGATCCCTGAAAGTAGGATTTGGATTAACATATAGAAGTTGGGAAACTCCCACACCACGGTGGGAAGGTCGGGCACCATTGTAGAAACTGGAGCGGCCGCCTTGCAGAGGCCACTGAGGCCAGCAGAAGTGACAGCTGAAGTCCACTAAGTGAATAGGAGGGAGGGAGGAAGACTGGCTGAAGGAGAGGGAGAGACAGACCCTGGGGGGCAGGTGGTGCATGGCCTGCCTTTGCAAGTAGCCTGGCGCCACATTCTCAGTAAAAGGTAAAGGGATCGTTACTTCCATCTTTGCCTTCGTTGCTGAATGTTTTAATATCCCATACTTTGCTTGAAGCTTCTGGAAGGAGTGTTCTCTACCTCGTGAAGAAACCAGCCCCTCTCGCAGTGGGGCGCGCTGGCCTCGTGGCAGGGACAGTCACTCCAGGGAAGCCTTCTCCTCAGCCGCCCCCCACCCCCTGCGGCGGGACCCCCAGGCCCCAGCTCACCGCCGCCGGGCTTCGAGGCGCGCCGCGATGCGGAGGCGCCGGGCCTGGATCCGCTCCTGCGGGTTATTAGAGTTCACCGAGGGCCCGAGAATCGGGGTGGATACGTGTTCCTCCTGCTTCTCCTCCAGGACGCCCAGGGCCCCCGATGGGTTCATGGCGACCCGAGACCGACCCCCAGCCCGACAGGGAGCCAGTTGCTAGCAACAAACCGTTGCCAGGGAATAGCGGTCACCTGACCAGCAGCCGGCGCCTCCGCGCAGGCCTCGGCCCCGCCCACCGGCCCCGCGCGCTCGGCGTCCGGATCCCGCTCAGGCGCTCGCAGCCGCGTGGGACCCACGAACCCCAGGACTTGAGAAATGCGCCAAGTTAGCTCATAGCTTTCCGCCCCTGCTGACTCATTGTTCGCTCATCAAGCGAATAGGCCTTAAAACGATTCGCCGTAAGTGTAACTGACCACCCCGTCGGAGTAGGCTGGCTCTCAGCCTGGTGCTGCTTTGGGGAGTTTTTGCGCCCATTTGCCACTTGTTCATTTTTGAGGACCTACTTTGTGGGAGGGCCCCCTATGCCTCCAGATGGTGGCATATTGATGGAAGTATATCCAGCCAGGGATGTTGTCGCCTGCAGCTGAAACTGCAGCTGAAACCCAGGCGGTCTCACCATCCCCACCTCCAGCATCGAGTGCTTAGAGAAAGAACAGCAGAAGATTTGAAAGACGAGTGGGAAGGAGTGAAAATAGGCGAACAGAAGCACAAACTCTCAGAGAAACACTTTCCCTTGAAAGGTGCTCTTTCCTAGAGTTGGCTTGTTTCCTTATCTTGTTGGCAACAAGAATGTTCGTTTTGAATCATCTTACATCCCTTAAGAAGAAAAGAACATTTGCCAGGGTCTTGCCCCACGGGTCTGTAGCACTTGGGGACAGGACACTGGAATAGTAGGAAAATGCAGGCACTCAGTGTGCCCTGCAACTGTGGTTAAACCATAACTTCTTGAGTTTTTTTTTTTTCCCCAGCTGTGTTGTGGTGCAATTTTGACTCACAGGCAATTGTGAGGCTAAAAAAATAAGCCCCTTGTGAATATGATATACCCAGAGGCAAATGGAGTTGTTTTTTCAAATTCACTTTCCCAAATCTAAAGTGAGTGTGAATTGAGGGGTGCCACTCTCTTGGAAGCAGCTGGTAGAGCAGTGGCCTGGATGCTTGTCTCATAGCTGAACAGGGGATGGGGCTTTTGTTTCCAGGTTTCAGGGACTCTGCCAAATCTCAAAGATAGATAAATAAAACCTTTGTGTCCTCTCCTGGAGACCGCGAGCAATGACCACCCTCATTCCAGACGCCATCCCCCTCTGCAGCCACTACCAAGGCCCAAAGTCAGTCTCTTTTCAGGGTCTCACCAGCCATATCCCTCACTTTGGGGGCCTACCTCATCATGCCAGTCTGGAGTAGCTGAGTATGAAAAAAACTCATGCTGGAAAGTCATCTTTTAGGATGGTTCCCCAAAATCTATTAATAGTTTAAATGAACATATTCATGGACTAGGTAATTGTACTTAAAATAATTGTCCTAGAGGCCCTCCCTGGTGGCGCAGCGGGTTAAAGCACAGCACTAAGAAGCTAAAGCCACTTTAACATGAGTTCAATCCCTGCCCTCTAGGTGACCACATGGTGCAGCAGACCTCTCCTGACCCGCCCGCTGCTCCCCTCAGCAGTGTACTTCATCAGTCAGCTCCCCACTCTGTGTCTGGTGAATCCTCACCACCCCTGCACCTCTGGCCTGTACCCCAGCTCTATATGCATAAATAAATAAATCTTTAAAAGCAGAATTGTCTTGTTAAAATAAAATAAAAGAATTGTCCTAGAGACAATGGACCTAGATTGTAGCTCTGTGGAGCCAAAATTCCATCAGTTTATTTGAAGTGCCAAACACAATACCTGATATGTAGGAAGTGTTCAACAAGTATTTTTTAGTTATTTGTAATATTAAAAAAGCAGATCTAGTGCAGCCACTAGGAGCAGGTGTAACCTGGAAAATCATCCAAGATAAACAACACGAGGAAAGGACGATGCAACACAAATGCAGAGCACGACCTCAGGCTTATCTAAAACACAGACAGTATGGGGCCTCTCTGGTGGTGCAACAGATTAAGTCGCAGCACTATGAGGCTGTCCACAGCCACCGCAGCACGAGTTCAATCCCCAGCCAGGGAGCTGACCCCCATGGCACAGCAGACCTCTCCTGTCTCCCCGCTGCTCCCCTCAGCAGTGTGTTTCAGTAGATCTGCCTGTTCTCCCCACTCTGTCTCTGGTGAATCCTCTCACCCCTACACCCTTGACCTGTACCCCAGCTCTTGTATGCAAAAATAAACATCTTTTTAAAATACAGTGTGTACTGCACACAAGAAAAACAGGGGAAGACACCAGCAGTTGATACCTCTAGGGATCAGGACTACCAGTGATTTTTGATCCTTGTTCTAGAAAAAAAAAAGTTTACAAAACACACAAATAAATCACTTTTGTTATAATAAAACGTTTATTTATTTATTATTATTTTTGATGAGTGGTACTAGGAGACTATGAGGGAGACTGTGGCAGGCAAGAGCGGGGCTGTCACAAGTGGGAGCAATTGGGTAAGGGGGTAGGTGTCCGCCTGGATGACCACCCGTATCAGCATCCCTCCTCAGCTGCGGCAGCTCTCCGTAAGCAGATCGCCTTTGAGAACTGACGCTAACAGGCTTGCAAGAGTGAAGCGTGCATGTAACACACTAATTTTAGCTAGAAACCCCAATTGTCACAGGGCCTATATGTGTATGACTTGTGACAGGCCATTGCTGTGACTGACCTAGAAAGAAGACCAAACTATAATTGGGCAGTTTCTAGATTGTGTATGATAGACTTTACCGCACCCACAGGACTACAACAGGTATAACTTGCCACAAAAACTAGTCAGATTGAGTCCTTGGGTTATGGCACCCCATAATGGGGCAAGGTTAGGGTGATAAAGGCAAAGCCAGTTAGGCTTCCTTTGCTATGCTATATTCTGGCAATCTACTTTCAACTAAAGAGTTTTTTTCAGAAGAAGAATGACAAAGTGATCAGATTTTAACATATTGAGTCAAATCACATCATTTCTACATCCACAGAGTGGTTACACCAAATCACCTGGCTTTAAGTTTGTGGATTCATCAAATATTTAAGCAGTTTTTTGGTTTATTTCCATCATCTAATTTTGATGAACTCAAATTAGAGCCTCAGAAGCCTCATCATCATCTTCATGCCCACAAAAAATGCAAAGGGAAGAACAGAGAAGGGAGGAGAATGAGCACGTCATGTGCCTTAGGGAAAGTTTAAAGTTAAAAAATATAGAACTAAGTATTAGTGGAAACTGAACACCTACTTAGACCACTCATTGTGCAATGGACTCTACACGTAACAGAGTACGCGCCTGGCGGTAATGCTGTATTATTCCACTTATGAGTTAACTGAGAGAAAAACAAGCAGTTTGTCCTGGGTCAAAGCTTACACAGCTGACCATGACCGAGCAACAAGTATTATCTTAAATGTTCAGGAAAGGGCCTCCCTGGTGGCACAAGAGATTAAGTGCTATCCACAGCCACTGCAGCATGAGTTTGATCCCTGGCCAGGGAGCTGACCCACATGGCGTGGCAGACATCTCCTGACCTGCCCGCTGCTCCCCTCAGCAGTGTATTTCAGTCAATCTGCCTGTTCTGCTCCCCACTGTGTTTTTGGTGAATCTGCTCACCCCCCAACACCTCTGGTCTACACCCAGCTCTTATATGCGTAAATAAATAGATCTTAAAATAAAACCTTGGGAAGAATGAAGATATTCTGAAAGCAAGAAAGAAATATAAGGAATAGACATTCTCTTTCAGGAAATTTGTGAGCACAGGAAGAAAGATGGGAGCAGGAAAAGGAGCAGGACACCTTTTAAGGGGTTCAAGGCCCTTTTAAGTTTAAACAGACCCAGACATGGCTACCTAGTCCCTCCCTGATGTTAGGGCCTGCTCAGTGTTTGAGGTTTGCAAAAGAGGAGGGCAACCACGAAGCTGAAGGATTAAGAGCAGACAGACAATTTGTCTAGTTTCACAGGTGGGGATTTTCTCTCTCACCTTCTTAAACTCTGTTATAAGAACAGTTTTAGAATCTGCTATCAGAACTGGGAGATCGTCTGATGTAAAAAATTGGAAACCGGGCCCTCCCTGGTGGCACAGTGGGTTAAAGCACAGTACTACAAGGCTAAAGCCATTCAGCATGAGTGTGATCCCTGGCCATGGAGGTGACCCACATGGTGTGGCAGACCTCTGCTGACCCACCCGCTGCTCCCCTCTGCAGTGTACTTCGTCGATCTGCCTGTTCTGCTCCCCACTCTGTCTCTGGTGAATCCTCTCACCGCCCCTTCACTTCTGGCCTGTACCCCAGTTCTGTATACATAAATAAATATTTTTAAAAATTGGAAACCATGCCCTCATAAACAATGATCCCCTCAAAAATAAGGACTTTTAACGAGAGCTATGGTATGTGAACCATAGTTTAGGTGTGTTAAGTATGGGCTTCCGGGGATTTTGTGGAATCAGCCTGGAAAATTAACACCACATTAACTTTCTGTGGGGAAATACTTCTGAGTATGAAACCACACCTGCCAAAGTCCTCTGCCAAGGACCTTCTAAAATAAGTCAGAGGATTATAACACACCTAGGACCCAGCAGCTGATCCTTCTGAACAAAAAAAAACCTACTAATGTTTGGTTCCAAAATAATCAATGACCATGAGACAAATGGCTGGTCATTTCTTCCCACAGCCCTCCCCCTGTACATCTGCCAAAGAAAACAAAGAAGACAATCTGAAAACAATTAAAAGGATTTAAAAATTACTCTTCAGTTTTATTACAATAAATATTTATCAATAATAGAATTAAACAATTTTAAAATAAAACCTACTGTATTACTTTTGGGTTTCACAGCAGCAGAAATAAACATAAATCCAGTTGAAAGGACAAGGCTTCCAGAATCTGGTGGCAAGAAAACAGTCAGGTCTTGATTATCTGAGCTGGCAAAGGGGAACAGTAATACCCAGGAGGTGGAAGGACAGTGGAGCGCATAGTGTGATCTGTTCGCACATCAAACTGTCTACAACTTGAAACATCCCAGTTAACGGAATCTGACCAAGTTGTGAAGCCAGTTTCTGTAAGGTTGTTCCCCCGCCCGTCACGCCCAGGAACACAGCTGCTCTCAGCATTGCCTTCTGGCCAGAATGGGCCCCGTAGTCTTTTAGACCCAGAAACCTCAACCCTGGCAGAAGCAGCCATCTTTCTTAAAAGCTGTGTTTTTGGCTCACACAATCCCTGGTAAAAGGGAATAGAAAGTTACAGATTTCAAGGGCCTTTCTTCAGCACGGAGTTACACTGGAAGTAGGAAAGATAGTGGCTCCAGATGAGGAAGAGGTTTCAGTTAGGGGCTACGTGCAGAGTAAGTCAACATGAAGAAACAGTCTAATGGCGGCCTTACCACTTTGCTGATAATCAAGAGTAGACTGCATGTATATATGAATATATCATACATATATATGCAAAGAGAGTATATGTATACATATTAAATATGTATATACACACACCACATGAAACCAGATAAAATAATACATTATTTACTATGATCACCGCAAGTCCTAGACAGACCAATTAAGCTACTTGACAGAGAAAATAAGGTTTGTGCTCCTCTTTATCTTCCTCTCTAATGTATGCTACTTTAGTAAACATATTCCAGCTGCTCAATTGTGTTTCTAGATACCTGAGAAGGGATGAAAACCTTATGTTTCAGAATTCTAGAGTGAGCAAACTGCATCTAGGCCAAGCTGAACAACTCAATAACCAATCCACCATGACTCCTGCCATGTGTACTTAGCCTTAGGGCATTAAACCTCACTCAGAAACCCCTTTTTCTACAACTGGCTGCAAATTTAACCTATTAAATTCCATGGGAGAGGGAGGAAGTGGGCAGCAGAGAGCTTACACATCCAGTAATTATTTACTTCTTTCCCCTTCACCTAGAGGAAAACTATTAAAAAAAAAAAAAGAACTTGGGAATTAATACTGAATTTGTCTTTCTTGGCAAATGAGTAAGTCACTACATGTAGCTGGTTTTTGTTTCCTGAATGGCTGCTCTGGACCTAATAAAACAAATACAACTAGGTCAATATTACAGGTAGTCTTAGTAGTTATTAAATTCAGACTGATAACTGAATGATATCAGTGATTCAAATAAATAGATAATGCAGCATTCATAGATCTTGCAAAATTAAAAGATTCCTCCCATAACCTGCTTCATAAGATCAAGTTCTAAGTGTGTTCCTGATCAAGAACTTATCCTTAGAGATTCAAAAGTACTCATTAGAATAAGAAATTGTGGCAAATTGTCTTTTAATGAAAAACCAAAATCAATTCTAATTTTGACTGTTACCCATAGAAACTGCTCAAGAGAAGAACTTAGACAAAGAGCCAGAAGGCATTTAGCCATTCATGTGACTCCAGGGCTGTCCAGTTTCAGTGCAGCAGGGACTCTGTGTACAGTTCATGTGCTTAAAAAGCAGTATCACTCTGATGTAGCCCAGTTCTCAAATCGTATTACGAAAAAGACAGTATGTATGGTCTGTGGGAGACCAGACAGTGCTTCTGATGTGTCCAAATAGACCTTCCTACAGAGTTAAGCCCTTGTCAAACTATTCTGAAATCACTTTCCAGTTCTGGGAACCCAGCCTGTTTGACCTAGTGCCGAGCCTTGCCTTGCTCTGGTCATCTGTGAGAAGAGCTACACGGAACAGCTCTTCTGCTACCCTAAATATTAACTCAGATAACTATCTCTTGCATATTTTCTATTAAAGAGCAAAAGCAAGCTAACTAGCATGCAGTTTAAAAAGTTACATTTCTTTTATACTCCAGAAATTCTAGAGATGAATTAGTCAATTAAACCCCTTCCCATAGCTCCAAGCAAGGAAGAAGCAAATCTACTGCCACTTCCTCTGGAAAAGTTAGACAAGCATGATTTCCCAACACCCAAAAATAACTGCCCATCATTTGTACCAAGACAAAAAGTAAAATATGCAAATTATATCATTAACAAAGGAAAATCAGAAATTTACTTGTTTCCTAAAATGTACAGGGTATTCATCAGTCACAGTGATTAACTTAGTACCATTTTACTGCTAAAACTGTCACTTTAATGCACATGTTAATGTGCTTCAAATGCAGCATACTAGCTTAAATTCTTCCTGGAAGGTTCTAGTACTGATAATAAGTTCATCACCCACAGGGTGTTGAGGAAAGGTCATGCTGCCTTACAAAGACACCTCATAGGACAAAGAAACCTCTAGTCTGATTTCACAGATTTCTTAGAATGCTCACTCGAGCCCAGAACTAAGGTCAAGCAAGATAAAGACTGCTCTCATTAAGCACAGGAATCAGCACCATCAAAGGTTTCTTTATCTGTTTTTAGTTTATTTGGTGACCCAAAGTCAGAAATTCTAGTCCAGTTTTTTACCTTGTTCCCTCTGGCACATCCCAATCCTGGACTAGTCAAGAGATCTAAGGTAATCAAGATTGTCTGAATATCTAAGAGCGGCAAAGCGAGGGTGGCTAGTTAAAAGAAAACCTTGGTGAAGAGGAAGAGCTACAAAAGGCTTTTAGTTGAAATATAAAGGGAAGACGACTTTTAGTCAAATACCTTCAGGTTATCTTTTTATTATTATGTTACAGCATCAAAATTTACTTTGGAAAGTAAAGCATATTCCAAATACTTTTGATTGACTATGAAATAAACTAACTGTTTGAAATTGAAAGCTTAGGAGACTTTCAAATTCACAGGACATTGAGTACTTGCTAAGGGGAGCACTTTTTCCTTTGAAAGTGGACACTATATGACTTTTTGTTTTTCTTTGCATGCTCCCCATTGCCCAAGTTCCAAGCCATAATCAACACTTTTGGTATCTGTTTAGAATTTGGGCAACTCTAGACATCTACTCCTCTCCCCAATAACTATCACACTAAAAGATTTGTCAGTAGTAGTAGTAAAACATTCTAGACCATAATCAAAAATTTATTTTTTAAATTAGAATTAAAAGTATTTGAATCATGATATCATTAAAATGTCAAGGAAAATTGTTTTGCTTTTTGGTTGGAAGTCACTCTCTGAGCCTTAAAACTAAAACCCATAAACTATACCTATTCTGTACTAGTGGAAGAAAGACAGTTCCCACAGTGATAATTTAAAATTGTGATGCATTAAGTTCATAATTATTATTACTATTCAAGAATCATAAAAAGCAGAATTTAACACACTCTATACAGATATTTTTAGAATTTTCTATCCTTTGCTCCCTTTGAATATAGGGAAATTATTTTCTGACAAGCATGAAATGATATTTTCATACCTTAACCTGAAAAGAAACTTCTCACAGGTCTAGGTAACTTTGGTCAGCAGAAACACAAAGCAAACCTCTAGCCTGATTAAGGCACGCTATTCTGAAATGTACAGAAAATATGTGTGCTGCTCCCCAAAAGGCAGCTCAGTGTATGCTGGGAAAAAGGCTGTGGTTGGCCTCATCCCAAAATATCATGCATAAGCCTAAAAATACCCTTTTTACTTAGGAAGTATTATAATAAGTGGCATGACATGAACACACAGAGCTACTAGGGACTTAGTCCTGCTTGGGCACCTTTATCCCTACATGACAGAGGGCTTTCGAGAAGCATTTGAGATGGCAACTGTCCCAGGAGAGTGGGCAGTGCATTAACAGAGGCCACAGTATTCACAAATAGTCAACTGCTCTGCTTTACTTTTATCTGGTTTCATCTAACGATGTCAATAAAAAAACTGAGTATAGCGTAATTCCTTACCACCACAGGGAAATATGTCACAAAGTGTAGGCAGAAAACAATTTTCAAATAAACTTGATGCAACAGAGAGAGAATAAAACACACATTGAGGTAAAATAGCCCCCAAATTATAGGATGTGATAGTATGCCCCAAAGGGTATTTTTTACTATACTGTACAAGGTGAAGAAAGCCTGTGGTCCAAATTTGTCATTTTATAAATATTTATCAGTTCTTTTCTTATATAATACAAATTAATCTCATTCTGTATATAAGGTTGACAAAACAATAAAATTATTAGCTTAGAAACCTTAAAACAAAACTTTACTCCCACCCAAATCAACATTTCATCCAGTTCAGTTTGACAGAACAAAGTATACAAAAAAAAATAATAATTACCATGACTTAGCTGGTTCATTCTCTGACCTCCATGATGGCAATTTATTAACAAACATGGAATCACTACCCATATTTTCCTTTCATCAATTTCTCATCTATTTTCAGTGCTTATTTTTGTCTTAGAGAAAGTCACCAAATAGACCTCAACCTTACAAGCAACTTTATGAGTACATAACCATGAATCAGCTCCTGGGCTCCTCATTCCTAATAACATGGATGACAATGATTAGCATTTACAAATTTAAAAACTAAAGTATCAATTACGGTTATTTTTACAAAGCAGCAGAATGAATGAAATTCAACAAGAAATACATTATAATTAAACTTAACGGTGGTCACATTCATAGATAAATAATAGCTATGAATTTAATTACATATCAACACAGTGGTGCCTATTTTATCCAAGTGCAATCCGTCCAAAATAAAAGGGTTTAAGATACACTCTTCATTCAAGCACAAACTTCATTCAGTGGAAAATAAAAAGAACCAGCAAGTAAATTTCACCACCACCAAACTAAAAGGTGACAAAGTAAAAAAGAAATAGAAAATATCCACACTCATGAAAAGGTAAGATGTATAAAATAATCACATGGGGGCAAAGGGGTATTTGCCAGTAAACCTCCAATTTCACTCCAAGTCATCAAAGGGAGCACGTACTCAGTGAGGCATGTGGGGATGTGGGCAAGCCAGGGAAAGAGAATTTCTCTCTACTTCTTTGTTCTATATGAACAAAAAGCAGCATTCCCTCCTCCACAGAGACAGATAAGGACTGGAGGAAGAGGGAGGACAAACTGACGTAGAGAACTAAGTCTGTGGAGAGGTTCACAGCTGTCATTCATAGCGAGGTTCATGAAATTCCTGACTCCCAAGCAAATGAGTCTCAGAAGGAGGTATCTCTGTGCCCTCACAAGTAATTATTAAAATACTGGGACTATCACATGCATTCATATACTCAGCGTTCACAGGCACCAAATCGCAACAACTTGCAGCTGAGAGGGGAAAAAATGCCACATTAAAACAATGAAACATGCCTACAGATATGCTACAATTACAATCCATTCTCTACTATTTCTCAATTGGATATTTCCTTTAAAAGAAAATTAAACTATTTATCAAGATTTGTTCCATAACAAAGAGAGCCAGAATACTAGAGAATCTAAATATATATAAATATAAATATATATATATATATATTAGCTCTCTTAGCATGTGAGGACAAAAGGCATTTCCATGGGAAAGAGAAACCAGTATTTGGCAACTGTTTATTGTTCTATGATCATTTGGCATCTCTTGCTGAAGGTGACTTGCTCTTATCTCTTCCCTAGATTAGATATGGGCTACAGCTTCTGCAGCTAAAGACCTACTATTAAGTACCTGATATGAAAACTTACTGCAATTTTCTAAATGTTACCAGAGTTCATAAACCAATTTTGGAGTCTTAAAAATAAAAGCAAAGTGTCTTTAACTCAGTATGAACCAAAAAATTATGGACTCATGAAGCAAAAATCACTAGGAACCTTTTGCTGGTCCGCATTATGCTTAACTAAAATGTCACAAAATCTTATAAAAATTAAGATAAAATAGAATGGAGTTAGTAGGTCCAAAATCCCCCAAGTTCAGATCATAAGTATCTATCATCTTTGCTGTCCGAGTACCACATCCACTGAGTTCCCATGTCTGTCAAGCAGATCGGTTTAGTTCAATGGTGATGGATGAAATATTTACAAGCATCTTATTTACAGTACTTCTTTCCGCAGATTACATGCCAATATTCTTTTCTTCCATTCCTAGTCAATCTGAGTTTGGCTTCCTCAATGAGAAGGGATAAATCTGAAAATGGTTGCTCAGCTGCTTAACCTATTAAAAAAAAACAAAACAATGTACCTTTTTTTTTTAAAGCACACAGTTCACTCTCTGGAGAAAATTTACATGCATGCAAAAATCAGAAATAATAAAGATGTTTTTCTGAATTAGGGTGGCTCAAGAGCTAGATGGCTAAATGGGACATGAGACCTATGTGAGAAGAGTCAGCACTTAAAACTGGGTCTGCCTAGCTACAAAATCTAATCTGCCAGAGGCCTTGAGGTCACCCAGATTTACATATGAAATCTGAAAGATTTAGGATAAAGCTGAGTTATAGTATCTAGTAGATAAATATTTATAAATAAATAATATATAAGCAAATTATATATATATAGTTATTCAACATTCAACTTTTTATAACACTTCTAGGTAGGCATTCCTAATCCTGATGAAACAGTATAAAACGAACCCTGCAATTCTGGAAGACCTAGTGCATATTATTAAGTTATCCCTAGTTTGGATAGATTAGCCCTTGGTTATATTCCAGTTAGCAACAGTGTTTTCTTCCTATTTCTTTCTTATTATTTATATTTCAATAGTTCAAGTGATTTTTTTAAAAGATTTATTTATTTAATTTATTTATGCATACAAGAACTGGGGTGTAGCTAGAAATGCGGGGGTGAGAGGATTCACCAGAGACAGAGTGGGGAGCAGAGCAGGTAGATGAACTGAAACACACTGCTGAGGGAGCAGCGGGGAGGCAGGAGAGCGCCATGTAGGTCAGCTCCCTGGCTGGGGATCAAGAATTGAATTCATGCCACAGTGGCTGGTGGTAGCTTGATAATGCTGAGACTTTAACCTCTGTGCCACCAGGGACACCCCTCAAGTGATTTTTTTTTTCAGTGGCTTAGCAAGTTTTATCTTTTAGTCAAAAATTATAGAAGTGGTAAGATCACAAAGATGAAAATAATGCTCCTGAAATTTTTTCCAGTTAACTAGAATCTATTTTTCAAGTTTAACAATACAAGTGTTAAATACAAGTGTTTAAAACTTCACAGTGCTGCACTTTAACCTGCTGCACCACCAGGGAGGGCCCCCCAAAACTTTTCTAGCTACAATAGTGAGTGCAACTTTCTTCTGAAATTTCCCCTCCTTTTCACTATTTATAAAAACTGCATGGAGCCAGTTTTGTGCTAGGCTACTCACCACTCGCACTCCGTAATGGATGTGGGCCAGAGTGAACACAGTTGTTAACACATACAGGAGAACGCTCTCAACGTAAGAGGTTACTCCAAAGTTTACCACCGTGACCACCAGTAAGAGCGGAAGCAGCAGCAGCCAATTCAAAGTTGGGCACCGGGTACTGCTCATTTGACAAACAATCAGATGACACTTGAAGTTAGTAAAAAAGAAGAAAAACAAGAATGAGTGAAAAGTTAATTAGCAAAGCACCTCCAAAACTAGTCATGTCAAAATTTAAAAAACATTCAAATACTAAGCCAACACATTTACATCACATTATTAACATTCCCCACTGTTCAGAAGCTCCCCTGGGACCACCAGCCCTACCATGGACCCTCAGGGTGTGCAGAAGCAGCTAGAAGATCATTTAGTAAGGATGGTATGGAGAGACCATCTTCCATGGGTAATGGTTTGGATAAAAGAAAATTTAAGATTCTCTGGTATCTGTGGGAGAATATTCAAAACAGCCTCACACACCCCATGCAAGCAGATTCCTTCATGGCTGGAAGGAGATGCTACCTGCAGTTCACCAGACTGCACATTAATACCTCAGAACTCTTTGGATTCCTTTACTTTCAAATCCATACTCACACAGTTTTACTTTTTCAGACCTTTTATACAATGCACTAATGTTTTCAAATCTTTAAACCCTGTGAAATTAGTAGTACTAAGGATATTAAAAACACTGGACAGGCCCTCCCTGGTGGCGCAGCGGGTTAAAGCACAGCACTGAGAATCTGAAGCCACTTCCGAATGAGTTCAATTCCCGCCTGCCGCCTGCCCCGGAGGAGACCACATGGCGAGCCAGACCTCTCCTGACCCGCCCGCTGCTCCCCTCAGCAGTGTACTTCGTCGATCTGCCTGTTCTGCTCCCCACTCTGTCTCTGGTGAAGCCTCTCACCGCCCCTGAGCCTCTGGCCTGTACCCCAGTTCTGTATGAATAAATAAATAAATCTTTAAAAAAAAAAAAAAAAAACACTGGACAGACCTGAAAACATAAACTATGGTTAAATTTTAAATGTTTTTTTGTTTGTTTTTTAAGATTTATTTATTTGTGCATACAGAACTGGGGTACAGGACAGGGGGCGGTGAGAGGATTTACCAGAGACAGAGCAGGGAGCAGAACAGGCAGATCAATGACGTGTACTGCTGAGGGGAGCAGCGGGCGGGTCAGGAGAGGTCTGCCTCGCCATGTGGTCTCCTCCGGGGCAGGCGGGAATCGAACTCATGCAGAAGTGGTTTTAGCTTCTCAATGCTGTGCTTTAACCCGCTGCGCCACCAGGGAGGGCCCGTGGTTAAGTTTTAAAGTGAAAGCTTGCTAAGGACCTGCCTGAGTCAGAGCACAGGTTTACTGGCTGGCAAGACAGTCAAGATGTCTTTTCAGCTACTTCTGACCTCTCCTCCCTATCTGATGCCTCTTGGGTCGCAGCAGAGAAAAGGACTTTTTAAAATACTGTATTCATCACTAAATGTATTTCATGTTCTTAACTTAAAAATCAATTGATTTTTTAAAATGTTTTTTCTTTCTCCTCATGTGTTTTCTTTCTCCTCAAAAATCCCTTTCAAAGCTCCCTAAACAAATCATTGGATCTGTAGCCCATTCAACCACACTGTTAATAATGGGAACTACACATATCACAGCCTTCCTCAGCAGGCACCAAACCAAAGTGCCCGAGGTGGTTCCACAGCCACCTATTTAGGTCCACAACAACACTGCAGTCTCCAAATCCTCTGCGGTCAAAGCGAAAAACATGATTTTCAGCATGTTTTGTCTTTGTGATAATTACTTGTTCTTTCAATGCTACAGTGTAAAATACCTTTATTTAAAATCCACTTATTCTAATATATAAGGTTACTCAATTTATGTCACACACGCCTTATATATAAAATGGATTTTTAAAAGAGAAAAACCTTACTGTGCTGTTGGCAAAGGCTGTTCCAACCATTAAGTAGAACACTCTAGGATGTATCTCTAAAATATTTGAAGGTGACCAGAAGATCCACACTGTAGACAAAATGAATAGCAAACATGGAGAAAAGAGGGGAACCATAGCTTCGTAGACTGAATTGTGTTTCAAGGTGTTATTTTTATAGCTTCTGGAAAAAAAAAATCAAGCAATACAAAGAACATTATTACATATAAAACATACATTATACTTGTACTTTGTAGTTTTCAAAGTACTTTCACAGTTCTACTCAATATCACCCTGTGGTATAAGTGGGAACAACATTACAAAACCCGTTTCCCAGCCAGGTTAACTGAGGATGCAAGTATTGAAATTCTGCTACAGAGTGGCAGGCGAGCACCAGCACTTAAGTCCTACCCCACTGCTTCCTTTAAAATCAAACCAGCAACCACTGCATTAGGAATGTAAAGACAAAACTTAAGTCTTTGTTCTCTAACTACATTCTAATCAAGGAAATAAAATGAACATAAAGTAAGTATTAGAAGAGCACTATGATACAAACTGACACAGAATACTGAAAGAAAACCCCAGTGGCAGAGGCTGAACTGCAAATATGACGGTGGATCTTAGTTAGTGGCTCTGGGCACATCGGGCTCATCCAATCATGTCTGTTCAAATGAACAAAATCCCAGAGCTACCCTTGGTTCTGCCTTGAGCAAGATGTTGCCCAATCAGAACCTCATCTCTAGAAGGATGACACAACTCAAATCATCTCTAATAAGCTTTACATTTAGGGTTTCTAGGAATGACCGCCGGTTGCCCTAAGTGGAGAAGATCTGAGAGGTAAAGGCTAAAGCGGATTTGAAAGACCAAGTGCAAAGTACAAAAAAGTGTTTCAAGTAGAAGGAAAATGGTGGAAGCAAAATTACTGAGGATGCAAGAGCAGCATATGTGCAGGTTCCAGTAAGTCATTCAGTGTGGCTGCAGAGGTCAAGTGCAGAGATCAGAGAACGCAGAGAACTCCCCACCCCTCACCCACCCTACTCAGGCAGAAATTTCTACTCAGTTCCTAGGGCTTGAAGAATGGGTCTAGGGCTTGACCCTGCACAAGTTCAGGGATTTTATGATTATACCAACTAAACTTACTGAGGACTAATTCATAAAACAGGACAATCCTGTCAACATGCAACGGAATATACTCCCTCCTAGAGATTGGACTTAGTCATAAAAAATGAAAAATTAGAAGGCCAGTGAGGCCAAAACTGTAACCAAAGAACTAGCAGCTTTGTGCTATGGTCAACCTGACTACACAAGCCACCAGGGACACTCTGAACTATCCTAACCTCATTCTAGATTCCCATTACATGTTTTGAAAATGTCCAGATTCACAAGGAAAACAGGCCCTAAAATATATCTAATGTGACAATAACTACAGATTTTCACATTAAAATAAAATACTTACCTGAAAAAATTTGATAAGCTCATTGGAAGAGTCACACATAATGCACAACCTTAAGGAAAGAAAATGGAATATTATGAATTATTATTCAAATGATTTTTAACAATAACTGAACACATACAAAATACACAATATTTTTAGATCCAAGATTTTTCAGGCTCCGATTTACTTTGATAATGAAATTAAGTATATTTCTGAACAACATTTACAACCACAGGGTTTGTGATTCAGAGCAAGAGACTCAAAGGGCCAGGCTGGGCTTGATCTATTATACCAGATCTCAGTTGTGCCCCCAACTGGTTATATGACTTCAGAGGAGTTGCCCTGTTGGTGCCTCAGTTTCCTTTTCTATAAAATAGAGATAATAGAAGTATTGAACCCAAGGTTTTGAAAAGTAAATTAATTTCTACACATAAGTCCCCTGGAACAGTACCTGGCATACAATAAACTGCACAGTAAATGTAAGTTATAGGAATAGGGAAAATTAATGGATCCTGTTTATACTGGTTTTTACCTCCCCAGCATTTCAATTTCAACCCCCCCATCCATACACTAGTTTTTTCTCCTATAACCTAAAAACAAGGACTAAGAAATGTTATCATAACCCTAATCATACTTTTCAAATTTACCTGCCTCTCCTAGTGATCAAATTTAATATCCTTTCATCAGTCCTGATTTCTGAGTAAGATAACTCCATTGACTGCCACTAAGTGCAAATTCGTTCCTCCTCCTGCTTTTGTGATTCCATTTCTCAATGTTCCTGTTAACTATCCAGCCATTACACTGTGTGCTGTTAAAGCTTCGAAAGGCCACGCTGCATGTTTCTAACAGGCATTCAACTCTGTTTCTCTTCTCCCTCAGAGAATCTTCTCTTACAGTTTTCACTACAAACTTCCTCCAGATGACTCCAAAATTGGGTTATATGCTCTTGGTCAATCAGACAATCTCTCTGAGCCTCATTTTAAAGCTCTACAATGGGGACGGGTGAAATGACTTTCTAGTGTTCCTTCCATTTTTGACTCTATGATCTACAGAGCTATAAATTCCTGTTCTCAAAGCCAATACAACACCCATGTGAACTTCCTGAACTTCATCTGGCTATTTCATTAACACTCAAGTATTGGCCCTAATTTGTCCACCCCAGACTCCCAAAGACTACCTTTGGGGGTATTGCGGTGATAGGAGGTGTTAATGCAGCTGTGATGATAAGGATCTGTTAAGAAAGCAGACCTTCAAAATAATTTCTAAGACATTTTGCTACAGATAAAAAGACTGGAAATCCACCAACAGAAATATCATCTCAAAAGATGAACGACTCTGCTATCTCCAACTCAATGGGAACAAAGTTCCCCCAAGGTAGAAGATCTCAGAGGAAAAGGAAGAAGATAAGCTGTTGTTCTCAGTAATTTTAGCAACTGGGCATGCAGGGGATTACTGGAGAAGAACCAGGGCCAAAGGCCTTAGTCCAGAGTCACTTGCAGCCAGAATAAGGGAAACTTGCAAAGAACTGCTGTACCAGAGTTTAAAATACTCTGTAACAATTTTATCTTAAATATAGTAAGTATGTAGAAAACCTGGCTCACATTTCCAGCTGTATTAAATAGAAATGCCAATTAGAATTGCCAAGTCAAAATGTACTTTACAAAAAGTAAAAATAGATTAAAAACATAGGATTAATACACCTAATATATGAAAAGCTTCTAAAAATAACAAAAATGGTTAGCAATCCTATAACAAAAACTGGAGATATAAAAAATATAAAGAAAAAAATTCCTAATACTAGAAAAGTTCATTTGTAATATGAGAAATGCAACTATATGGACACATCAGTTTTACTGTCATACTGAAAAAAAAAATCAGAAAGTTTGACATTATACCATGTTGGTAACATCTTAATGAGCACTTTGGCACATGGGTGATGGGAATTCAAAAATCAAATAATCTAGATGGAAGGGAACATGGGGATAGCTAATGAAATTGCATTAAATTTCCTTTAGTAGCAATTCTACTTCCAGGGGTCTTATCCAAAATACCCAGGGCAAAAGTATGAAAAGGCATATATTAGACTATCACTGCAGCAATATTTTCCACCAAGATGGGAAATAGCCCCAGTAGGAGGTTGGCTGAATAAACTGTGGTGCATCTACACACTGAAGCAGTGCAAAGGAAGGAGGAAGATCCTTCTGTCACTGTGCAGTAATCTCTGGGATATATTATTAAAGCGAGAAGGGATGATTGTTGCAAAATATATAAAGTATACTACCATTTGATAAAACCACAGATATACACATTTACTTATGTTAAGAAAGAAACAACAAAAAGATGAACCGAAGACTTTAAAATCTAAGAATGATTAACTGAGGAAAAAGATTAGGGAAGTGAAAGTAGCTAAATTTCTTTCAATACACCTGTGTCATACACAAATTGACTTTGTAACCATGTAGATATTTTACATACTTATAAAAGAAATATAAACTTTAAAAGAAAAAGTAATCCCTAAAAGCCAAAAGTAAAATGAAACAAGCTTAAATGTACATTTCCCGAGTGATAACAATGGAGTCACAACTTTAAAATATTAAAATCTAACTGGATGTCTCTAGTGGAATAAACCACAAAGACAAATGGGAATGGAAAAAACAAATCTTAAAATTATGTTTAACAATCATCCATTAATTTTGGTACTATATACTAACACTGTTGTTTTACGGAATAAAACAAATGGCTATGTTGTATCAGTGAAAACAAAGACTTGTGTCACAGCATTAAGGACATGCAAATGTATGTTCAGTGAGGCTGAATAAAAATTCTGTTATTACTGAATTTGGTTTCAAAGTATTAATATGAATTTATGGACTATTTTATCATAGAAAACTAATAACCTGACTAGTCACTGAGTAGATTCCTAAGCAATATTGATCAATGTCAATTACTAACACTGAGGGTCAGCGAATGCAGAACTTTATACTAGACTACCCTAAGGACGCAATGCACTGCACAGTTACGTACTGTGTGGCTCTCAAACTTGTATCTAAGTCTATACTCTTCTGTTAGTTTACAGAAGAAAACAAAAGGTAAGTGACATGATGAGAACTCAATCAGCACAATCAAGAATTCAAGTGTTCTGTTGGCCGAAATGATCCACTTTCTTCAACAAATAAATTGCAAAGCAAAAGATGGTAAACTTACAAAGGTAGAAAAAGACTAAAAAACTTATCAATCAAGCACAAGGCACCTACTCGGTGACTCTTACAACAAATTGATTATAAAAGAACATTTGAGACTACTATGGAAAATTAAACACTAGATATCTGAGGATATTAAAGAATCATTGTTAGTTTATTTGGTGTGGTAATAGTGTTAGAAATCCTTATCATCTAGAGATACAGTGAAGTATTTACGCATGAAATGAAATATGTCTGGGATTTGCTTAAAATATCCAAAGGGGGGCCCTCCCTGGTGGCGCAGCGGGTTAAAGCACAGCACAAAGAAGCTTAAGCCACTTCCGCATGAGTTCGATCCCCACCTGCCCCGGAGGTGACCACATGGCGCGGCAGACCTCTCCTGGCCCGCCCGCTGCTCCCCTCAGCAGTGTACTTCTGTTCTGCTCCCCTCTCTGTCTCTGGTGAATCCTCTCACCCTCCGCATCTCTGGCCTGTACCCCAGTTCTGTACGAATAAATAAATCTTTTTAAAAAAAAAAATCCAAAGGGAGAAGGATGTCTAATAATAGTGGCAGAAAGAAGTAGGATGATTACTCTCAGGAAAAAAAAAAATTAAAAACCATGCAAAAATATTAAACATAACTGGCAAAAATATTAAACATAACTGCATGAAAACACTAGAAAATAACAAAGGTAAGCAGGGGAGTTCCTAGAGAATGTGGGGTTTAAGCCACGGGAAAAGGCCCACCGCACTTCTGAAAGTCAGCGTTGAATGCACCGTCTTCTCAAGAGCATCCAAGCCTTCCCTAAGTCCCAACCCATAACCTGAGTTCACCAATAATAAGAGACAGGGCTAGCTAAGGGAACAGAGGGATGCCAACATGAATGCTGCTTTACTTCTACAGATTCTCATTACCCTGGGCAGTGCCAGTTGCCTCTTCTTTGTCTCTTTCTATAGCACTTTCTAAACCACTCTCCCCTACTCATCTGCAGATATTCCCTTTAGATACAATCAAAAGGGAAACGCTGTCATGGTCAAAAGCTTTCCAAGCACTCAGTGGCTTTGTCTGGAGGATGAGAGGCATCATGCTCAGAGTACATGGACTTATAAAGTAATCTCTACTTTCATCAATTCTGCTGCCTACATACAAACTAACAATCTTCAACTTTGAGTCAAGTATAAAATTTATTACATCCAATGTAATAAATGTAAATAAATTAAGCTGGATTAATCAGAATCATTTAGAAAGTTTATATGATCTATTTTGATATCTTCCTCAGATCAGAAATAGGTTGGTACTGAACAAAAAGAAAGCAAAACTAAGGAATCTATATTCCCTCAACGGCTTGTTTGACATCCTGATGGGCATCAAGGAGAGGGCGACTAAGGGTGCTGTTGCTTGTCATAATCAAACACTGGCTTTGATAACAAAATGATGTTAAAACAGTCTTCACATGGTGCTTCTTACCAATAATCATTGTAGTGAATAGGTCTCTATATAAGAAATTAAACAGGAAAGGTTCATACCAGGCCTCAACTCCCACAATCGCAGTCACTATGTAGACAAAAGAAATAGTCTGGAAGGCAAAAGTAGACAATGCACACAGAGGCATTAACAGTTGAAAAGATCAGAAGGTCAACAATGCAGTATAAGTCTGGTCAAACAGTTTTAGTAAAAGCAGCTAATTTAATATTAGGGGAAAACTTCCTGCCTTTAAAAACATTTTTTTTTCCAGCCAACAATGCCATAAAAAAAACTAGCTTCTAGATAATCCAAGCAACTGGCCCTCATCTGGAACACTTTAAAGGACTTCGTAAACTGATTAACTTTTACAATGATATAATTTGCCTACCCAATCACTAAAATCATCAACCACATTCCCATTTCTGATTTTTACTGAAGCTTTAGGAATAATGGGAGAAAAGATAACACAAAAGTTGGGACTTGAAGGCAGAGAAAGTTAATAGCAACTCTCTCTACTCACTGAAACACTGCTGATGAAGAACAAATAAAGCCAAAAATTTAATGACAGGTGCATATCGTTCCTTACAAAAATTAATAGTTCAAATAAGTGGACATTTATTAACATTAAGAAACTTCTTTTTTGGTGTAATAATGGCATTGTGATTGTGTTTTCTAAACAGAGCTCTTACCACAAAGAACTATACAGTAAAACACTTACCATGCAATGCCAGGAATTTCCTTTAAAATAATCGCGAAGGGTGTGTGGACAAAGGCACACATGAAAGTAGATCAGCCCTGTGTCCGAAACTGCTGAAGCTAAGCCACAGGGACAAAAGGGGCCCACTAGCCTCATCTCTCTACTTCTATATATGTTTGACATTTTTTCATAAATAAGTAAAAATAAATAATTTTTTTAAAACTTAAAAAAGCCAAAACACATATCAGTTTTAACCAAAAAAGCATTAAAGGCAATAAAGAATGAAAAACAAAAACGTCCCCCCAAATTCAAGACAATGTTGAAAATGTGAGATTAAACAGATACTTACCACCTGGCTAATATCATATCCCCATGGCAGGAAAAGAACTCCTGTGTTATATTTTTCCCAGTGGGATAGGATGAAAGAAAACAAAACTACCCACAGCAGGATATAAAGAACAAAAACACTGACACCAGACGGTCCTCGTCCAAAGATAGAATACACAGTTACAACAAAGAACACACACGACCAGCTATCCAGGCCATGGTCAAAAAGCTCCCCTAAGGGGGTGCTGGAATTGGTTCTTCGGGCTTGCTTTCCATCCACACCATCTGCAAGAAAAGCACACCACCACAGGAAAGGTCAACATCTGCACTAACATGGAAAAAGTCTCCTTTCATAAACTGGAGAAAATAGCTCATATTCCAAGAATGTGAATTAACATGAATATTCAGTAGTGATTCATTTAACCACTGCTCTAGAATCCAAAATCATTCTGTACTGCCACCATAAGAACTATTTCCTCTTGTTTGATACTGTAGTCACTGCTTTACAGATCCACCATCTCTACAATTCTAGATGTTTTCAGACAAGGCTTTGCACATAGTAAGTATTCAGTAAATACAATTAGTTATTCAAACTGAATTAAAAGTTATTCAAACAAAAAAAAAGTTATTCAAACGGGGCACTGCAAATTCTTCTTACAGTGAAAATTACAAGGATCTAAGAATAAATTTTTGTGCTTGCAGTGTTTACAATTGAGAAAGAAGACAAAAGGCGATAATGACGGCTATCATGTCTCAGACACCACGGAGAGTATGAAGGGGCAGATTCTCTTCAGGCTAAGAGAGTCTAGCATGGCCATCCAGACAAGATGAAACCTGAGTGGGGACAAAACGCATGACTGGATTCCAGTGGGTGAGTGATAACGGAGGATGCCGTTTCAAGGAGGAGCACTGTCAGCAGAAACCCTGAGATGGAAAAGCACACCCGTGTCCAGAGAAGGCCAAGTAGTTACTAGACTGACTAGAAACTGGCGCTTAATGAGGCCAGTCCAAAGAGAGTGAAAGGGAGGCTTGAATCCATTTAAAGGTTTCAGGGAGTAAGAACATCTCCCAAAGGCAGGTGTGGTGCGACAGGCATGCAAGCCAGGCAGTGCGTCAGAAGACCCACCTGCCTCACGGCTTGAGTCACGCTGACTGGGGGTTAGGCTGAACTGGAAATGCAGCAGGGGAAAATGTGGAGGAAATGAGAGTGAATAGATAAAAGTGGCAATGCAGCAAAGGCTAAGACGTGGACAAGGACCGAAGGACAAGAAGGCCACCTCCAAAGTCTCCAGTCTGTGTAACTAAGACAGAAGAGGTGTTAGAAAAAGGAACGTCAGAAGAAGCACTACAGAAAATACTGAGTGTCATTTCAGAAGCTACAGCTGAAGTGCTGACAAGATATTCACAGGGTGATATCAAACAAACAAAGGGCTGTTACTGGCAACTCAGAGGATAACTGAGGACCAGGAGTAAACATGAAAGTCATCTCAATAGTGCTAAGAATCAAGATAATTAAGAGAATGAGGAGAAAGAGAAAGAGAGAGCCCAGAGCAGCACCTTCACTGACAGCAGAAACAGAGAAGCCAAGGAGGGAGGGAGATGGTAAAACCTAGAGAGAAGGTAGAAGAAATTATAAAAATTTCTCCCCCAGGCCCTCCCTGGTGGCTAAGCGGGTTAAAGCACAGCACTAAGAAGCTTAAACCACTTCCGCATGAGTTCGATCCCCACCTGCCCCTGAGGAGACCACATGGTGTGGCAGACCTCTCCTGACCCGCCCGCTGCTCCCCTCAGCAGTGGACTTCGTTGATCTGCCTGTTCTGCTCCCCACTCTGTCCCTGGTGAATCCTCTCACCCTCCGCATCTCTGGCCTGTACCCCAGTTCTGTATAAATAAATAAATGTTTTAAAAAAAAAAATTCTCCCCCAAATAAGTTTTGATAACTAAGCATATTAGAGTTAGGTTACCTATAAAGACTCAACTATGGGAATTAAAAGTGCCTTATAATCACCGTGTTTACGGCTTACTATAGTAGTACTGGCAAGCTCAGTATGTGGTCAAAGGGCTTTTAAAAATATGAATATTATTAAAGTAGATTAGCATATAGATATAGTAAAATAGATGTTAAAAACAGGGTTATTACAAAAGGAGGAATGCTAACTTATTGACTACTTTCGGGACAGCAGTTATTATGGAAACTGAATTTATAAATTACTTATTTTTGTACATGTTCGCAATGAACCCATTCTGGGGTCTCAGTAAGCTTTCAGAAAAAAATATTTAAAAAAGGTAACTCAAGGGCCCTCCCTGGTGACACAGTGGGTTAAAGCACTGCACTGAGAAACTAAAGCCACTTCAGCATGAGTTCGATCCCTGCCTGCCCCGGAGGTGATCACATGGCACGGCAGACCTCTCTTGGCCCGCCCACTGCTCCCCTCAGCAGTGTACTTTGTCAATCTGCCTGTTCTGCTTCCCGCTCTGTCTCTGGTGAATCCTCTCACCCTCCACATCTCTGGCCTATACCCCAGTTCTGTACGAATAAATAAATAAATCTTTAAAAAAAAAAAAAAGGTAACTCAAGGCATCTCCTACATATGGTGAGTGCCCCAGAAGGCCCTAGAGCAAGCACTTTAACATCTGTGCAGTAAAATAGTCACTCTAGTTGAAGGCTCTCGGCCTTGCTGCTCAAAGTCAGTGTTCTCCCTCCCTCCCACAGTTTTTAGCAATCAAATCCTGTAATAGGATTTTAAAACTGCTCTTTTTTTTTTTAAAGATTTATTTATTTATTCGTACAGAACTGGGGTACGGGTCAGAGATGCGGAGGGTGAGAGGATTCACCAGAGACAGAGTGGGGAGCAGAACAGGCAGATTGACAAAGTACACTGCTGAGGGGAGCAGTGGGCGGGTCAGGAGAGGTCTGCCGCGCCATGTGGTCGCCTCCGGGGCAGGCAGGGATCAAACTCATGGGGAAGTGGTTTAAGCTTCTTTGTGCTATGCTTTAACCTGCTGCGCCACCAGGGAGGGCCCTAAAACTGCTCTTTTTTAATAACGGCACAAATACCTCTGCCTAAATATGTAACTTTAAACGAAGCTTTTTCCTAATTCTTCACACCTTTACTCCCTTCCTTCCCCAAACTCCTGCAGGTCTACACATCTGCCATGTCAGCATTTACTCACGTGCTGGATCATACTGGTTTTACAAATGTGGGTCACTTTTATCAGAAGAGACCCACGCAACTTCTAGTCAGGGCCTGCCATTTCACCTCGCTTACAAGCTGTGTCCTAAGCACCTCCTGTTTATCACTAGTCAAGACACAGGGTCCACAGCAGTGAGCCAAACAAAGTCTCACTGTCTAAAAGCTCAGATTTGAGAGCAGACAGACAATAAGTAAATAAAAGATAAGGGGTCATGTTGTGTTAAGTGTTATGGAGAAAGGTGAAAGGACAAGAGAAAGGAGAACGCAGAACAGAGCAGGTAAACAGCCCAAACGAAGCACTGTTGACAGAACACACAGCTCGGCTAGCAAAGATGCCCTGACGTTCACTGCCTCGCCAAATCAGAATTACTCAACTCCTTATTTGTTCCCCCACTGCTCTCTAGTATAAGCTCTCTCTCAGCATTTGCTATTGTTTGATATGTCAATATTACTTCCCAAACTTAAGGCAAACATGATGCCTTGTGCCAGCAAATATTTTTTATAAAGAGGCATTTTGTAAAGTTCAGGAATTTGTGCCGCCTAAGTCTCCTTTGCAATTACTGACCTGACTGTTGCAGGAAAGCAGCCCTGGACCACGTGTAAAGGCATGAGCACTGCTGCAGTCCAGTAAAATTCTCCTAACCCAAACTAGGCAAATTCTACTAACCCAAGCTGGGCAATAGGCCAGCTTTTCAACTCCTATCTTTTTGAATCCCAACCAATGAAAGACAATGTTTTTCATAGAGGAACTAAAAAACATGGGAGAAATGTTAATTTAGTCGATGCAACTACCTGCTTACTTCTTACCGAGTGTGTAGGCCGTGAAGTTGAGGATGCCCACTACAATCCAAACCCAGTCGGGGACGTGCCTGTGGCCGGGTGCTGCAAAGGAAAGCGCCTCAGACTGTAACACTGAAACTCCGGAGCACATCACTGATAAACACCTTTATTGGAAAATACATTCTCAAGCTTAGAAGGCAAATAAATACTTAGCCATCTCCATCTTTCAACTCCTCAACCCTATCAACTCACTGAGCAATAAAAATAAACTGTCTCCCAAATGAATGCAGATTTGCCCCTGGGGCCTGCACCAGGAGCTAGGAGCTGGCTGCGGGAGATGTGAATAATGGAACAGCGGTGAAAGAAGACAATGGAGTCCAGGTCAAAGCAGGCTATAAACTGGCTCCCAAACACTTCTTTCTCCTCTTTCCCAACAAGGGTCCAGACTCCGGTCAATAAATATTTATGGTCTAAGACCCATTTTCAGAGAAAAGTAAAGTCAAGTGAAAGGCAAGTAAGCAGAGGGGAAGAGAGATAACATTCCTTTTAGAATAAAGAGAATTTTTTTCTTCTGTAACTAGACAATGGGAAGGGAGGTTTCTGGAATTGCTAGGTATTTTTGGGCTCTATTTATAGTCATATTTAGGTAGAGATTCATAGTCCTAATTTTTCTTATAAATGTAATATTCCTTTATTGACCAACACCTCACAGCCTTTTAAAGCAACATAACTAAACTCAATAGGAAAGTTGGTTTATACAAACAGAAATTAATGAAATAACAGGGTGTGAAAACAACTTCATACCCAATTCAACATTTCATATGCCCTTAAAATATTCAAAACTTTTCATAAACACAAGCATCTTGAACCAATAATAATCCTATCTCATTTTTTCTCTAGACAATTGAAAATTTTTATTAAAGTAATAATCTTACCTGAAGCATAAAAGTCAGGATCAAAGTATGCCATAAGTACGAAATTGAATACAACCAGCAGAAAGCCAGAAAAGGTTATCAGATTTGGAGCCAGCCACGTAGGAAATATCTATTTCCAAGATAATGACAAAACAATTAAAGTAGAAGACACTCTCTGTATATTATTTACCACAAGATGCAAGCTTAAATCATAATAAAAACGATAAATTTGAAAAACCACAGTGTCATACATATTAAAACGTAAACCACAAGCGAGCTGATAGAAATGCAGATTTATTTTCCTTTCTGTAATCAACATACTTTTATAATCATAGTGTTATTTCAGAAAAATGTAAAAGACATTTTATGAAAATGATAAGCTCCAGAGAGTAAACTTAGACTTCAATGAGACAAAAAACAGACAAGTGACCAAAGGAAAGGATGGCAGAGAGGGTAGTTTCTGTCCATACACTTTGAAACCAACACATCTGCAAGACTCCACAAAGTAGCTTAAATATTCAAAACGTGCTAAAACAGAAGTTCATGCCTATGAAATCACCTTACCTTGACGATCGTGTTCCAAAACGGATGCATGACATACAGGGAGAGCGGGTTGGTATCCACCGCACTGTACTGTTAAGAAACGAAAGAAAGAAAGCTCTCAGAGGGAATTCTTGCTTACCAGAACAATATTTCTCAAATGAAGGTAGCATAGAATAACTTGGAGAATGTGTCTATTTAGATGATGCCATCTGATAACAAAACTGAAAGAGCAATATAAATGGGGCAAAGAAAGATTTTTTTAACCAACTTTTATAATATTATAGTTCTTCAGAAGAAAAATGTATATTGCATACAAGTTCTACTTTACAGTGAAAGATCAGTAATTCCACACAGTGTGCACTCAAACACTGACCACCCTCATCTTCTCAACCTCCCTCAGCTAACAGGAATCTAGTTGTTAAGAGTCCCCAAGACCATCACAAATTCACTTACTAACTTCAAGTCATTGCTTCCACTATAAAATGAGGTGATAGTCTTTAGCTCAAAGGAATACCACAAAAATTAGCTAAGTTAATAGTATACATGAAGTGCTTAGACCAACACCTGACCCACAGTGAGTGCTATGGAAGGGTGAGGTAACAGAAAATAGTGTTTCTGCCCCAGCTCCTGGCACAGAGCTCCTCCTTATAACTTGCTAATAAGAGCATCTATTGTTCTAATCTGTTCTGCTGCCATCCCTCCTGACACAGGGCTCTTAAAACTGTTGTAAATTCCTAAGTGATAAGATCACTGGGAGCATCTTCTGTTTTGCAGAGATGACCTGGGCTTCTAGATAGGGGCTTACACCAGAATGATGAAATCGTGCTTAAAAACTTGGACTAGTCTGCCTCATCCCTTACCCTCCAGAAAGGGGAGAGGGCTGAAAACAAAGTTCACAGTCACACCTCCGTGCAGAAGCCTCCATAAAGTTCCAACAGTGCAGGTGAACAAATTCATCTACACCTGCAGGGTATAGCACCCCAACTTCACGGGGGCAGATTTTCCTGCCTGGGGACCTCCATATGCCTCTTCAGCAGGTTGTTCACCTGAGTCCTTTATCATATCCTTTAATAGCCTGCTCAAGGTTACTGTTTTCCTGTGACATGCTCCAAAAAATTGATGGAATCCACAGTGAGAACTTCCACTTCTGAGCATGCTCCTCAAGTGCATGTGGCAGGGAGGAGCCTGGCAGGACTGAGCCTGGGTTCTGCCACTGTATTCAGGAAGGTAAGTGCATGGTGCCCAGGGGGTGTCCCAGAGAATTGCCTCATAAGAGAAAAAACAGCCGTGTATTTGGTGACCCAGTTAAGTGTTTTGTGTAATAAAGACTCACAGGGAAGACACATAGGAGGAGGAAATTTTCCTTTACAATAAGCATTAGGTAATATTGTAAATGTGTTTTGAGAGTCAAGGGAATGACAGATCCTTTATAGCAAAACAGATTGCACAAAGCAAACAAACAAAAAAAACCAAGGGTTATTAATAGTCAAGTTCATTCCCCAATTATTCAGCTATTTAGAAAAAACTTAAAGGAAATTTTAACAAAGATCACTATATAAATATGTACAACCTTAGAGAGTCACATCTAAAAGGTATTCACCAGGCACACACACACTGGAGTACGTGTCACGAAGAAAGCACTCCGCTAAGTATGGGAAGGAGGGATATAAAATTGATAAGGGAAACTCCCTTCCTCAAGAAGTGGGATGATTACCTAATTCATCCAACTGACATTTAAACACCATTATAGTAGTCAAATATTTTTAAAGTTTTGACTGTTTTATATGTATGTGTACAAAAATAAGCATTTGGGGTCTCTATTATAATTTTTAAAATCATAATTAAAGGCTAAGTTTTCTTCCTGGATATTTTATGGCTATGCAGTATCTTCTCACACTTAAAGTGTTTCAAGACTTAAAGATGTGATGAACAAAAAAATAAATAGAAAATTCTGGTAGCAAATGGAGTCAACCAATAAGGCAAAGGTTGACTCAACATTCCGAATGCTGTGTTCCTCCAATTTTACAAACAATCTGACTGAAGAGGGACGTGATTACGGTGATAGAAAATAACCTCTGCTGGCTGGAGTCAGAAGCTATGCAGCTGCAGCCAGATTCTCACTACAGAAGTTTCCTTAAATGAGTATCACTTTCTTACTAAAGTCAAATTTTACTCTAGTTTACAAAGGTTTTCTGTACAATAGATAAAGCTACAGGTGAACTTTGGCATAATGAAGGAGACAGGATTGCTTGAACTGAAATCTTCAGACCTGGAACCAATGACGGCCTCACGGCTGCCGGTAACAAGGTGTGCGCACCTGGTCTCCCCTTTTTCACAAAGGCCTACCCAGAACCCTGTGGGGTAACAAGCAAGTGATACAAACTGGAAAACCACACATTTCAAGTCCACCCTCTACTCCCAGTACAAAGGTTGTAAGAAGTATAAATTCAGAAGAAAATAATTTAAGACACCATATGAATACATATGTATCTGTAATACACTATGTAAATTACAATATTCTTAACCTCTTATTCAAATGTTTGCTAAATGAGTTTCATTCCATACCTTTTCATACTTTGAACTCAAATCTGAAAGTTCCTTAATTAGTGGCATTTTAATTTTAAAAGTTTCTATTTTTAAATTCTGAGGTTTTATATATCTAAATCTCTACTTCAAAAGACCAGAGAAATAACTGGACTATACAACCAAATACAAGGAGGTCTGTTTAACTAATTGGATTTTTTTACATTGAATAATAGTTGACGAGGTCACATACAGCAAGAAAATTTAATATGAGATTACAAAAGGCAGCAAACAATAAACCTAAAGAACACACTGTCCTCTTGCCTTACACACCTGAGTATTTTTCAAGGTCCCATTTCACTTGGAATAAACAAAGAAACTTGACACTGTCTTGTGAATCAACAGAAGAGCAGAAGGCTTCAAACCTTCCACGTGCATGGAAAAAAACAAAAAATAAAAAAATAAACCTTTAAAAGATGTTACACTACATTTGGTTTATTTGCTGATGCTTAGTAAATGCATTTTTACTTTCCACTGGGATGTTGTTTCAGAATATACCAGACTACCTAACCAGGCAGGTACACACTGCTATGGCCTCCTGTGGCTTGGTGGCGATGTAATCTGCAGGCCAGGCTAAACTAGCACCACCAGCCTGATTTTTCTGAAAATAGTATAAGGAATTTTTGAAAATCTTGGAATCACAAAAGTGCTCAGAGGATGTCTTGATTCTCCCATGCCTGAGCCTCATCCATAAGGACAGGTAAATAGTCATCTGGCCTCTTTTGACGCTGGGTTTAAAAAAAAAAAAAAGGCTCATTACTTCCAGAAGCAATCCAATCCAATATAAAACAACTTTCCCAAATAAGAACAAAATCTTTCCTTGCCCATGTTTTCTAGCCTCTCTTCTTTTGCCTAATAAATTAGACAAAGGTGTAATTTTTCTTCCAAACAATAGTTTTTCAAATATTTGAGGACAGTTCTGTCACACCCAAATCTCTTCAGCTAGTCAACCATCCCACATGTCCTTTTCGCTGACAGAGATGATTCAATCTCATCTAGCCCCAGACCAGAGGGTGGAAAGTTACCTCTGGAAAAAGCTCAACAGCAAACAGGTGGGGCTTTGCAGGCCATACGGTCTCACTAATAGAGCAGGTGACCTGGGAGTCTTATGAGATTATTGTTTATTGTTTGCTGCCTTTTGTAATCTCAGTCTTGATAACCTGTGCTCCAATTTGTTTCCTAACCCAAACAAGGAAATTTCAAGTAAAGCATCAGCAGAAAGGAAAACTCTTCCTTAGTAACTAATTTCTCTGACATTTAACCTATTATTAATTTCCTGTGCCAAAATCATACTACAGATTTCACTCCATCTCACAGTCATTTGAATCTCTCAGGCCTTTCTTACATGGACGCTAATATACTAGTGTGAGGCTAGTTGTTGGAGTCTAATTCACCATCCTAACATTTTCCACAAGTCAACTCATCTTCCCATCTACTACATCTCTTCAGATTCAGATTCAGTTATCCAAGGGAATAGGCATGCTTCTCCAAACTCTCAGCATGCAAATCTGCCATGCTAATGCCTTCTCCTCAGTCTTTGTAAAATTGTTGAAGACTTTCTGAATACACTAACAAGATCAATATTAGCACGCTTAACAATTTTCACTTGAGTATAGACTTCTATACTGTTACATCTTAGACAATCAGTTACTCTTACAAGAAAAGATTTTCATAAAGTCTCAGTAAAATCCAGGAATTAAATTTTCAAACCTTTTTTTCACTTCAATACAAGAGAGTTCATTCTTCATTTACTCATTAGGTCAACAAACATTCATGACTGAGTGCCTCTGATTTTACTAGAAAACTATGCTGATAAAAAAAGCTGGATAGAGAATGACAAATGAGACCAAGTGTTTCCTGTGTTTACCAGATCTATTATCTAATGTGAGATAGATGGTAAATTAAGAAAACAAGAAATAATCACAAGCTGTGATAATTCTGTGACGAAATTAGCAGGGTGTTGTGTAAGAGGACACGGTGGCAGAGAGCATGCTTAACTGGAGCAGTCAGAGAAGATTCTCTAAGGACAGGACCCCTCAGCTGAGTCTTAGATGAGATGGGCATCAGATAAAGAATATATGAGATGTAGGCCCTCCCTGGTGGCGCAGCAGGTTAAAGCACAGCACTAAGAAACTAAAGCCACTTCCGCATGAGTTCAATCCCCGCCCCGGAGGTGACCCACATGGTGCAGCTGACCCGCCCACTGCTCCCCTCAGCGTGTACTTCATCAGTCAGTCACTGCCCTGTACCTCTGGCCTGTACCCCAGTCTTGTACGCATAATAAGTCTTTAACTATATATATGAGATGTAACACTGAGTCAAAGAAGGGAGGCGGCTAAAGAGTACATGCTGCTATAGGTTCTATTTACATGAAGTTCAGAAACAGACACTGTTTGGCAAAAGATGTCATCACAGTAATAAGGTGACTGAATCAGGGACTTTTTAAGTGCTAGAAGTAAGTATGTATCTTAACCTGCAGTGGTTACATGCTCATAACTACTCAGTTA